GGTTCATTGAAAAGAATCAGTTCTTTCTTGAATCAGACACCGCTTCTGCATCTCGGAGCATGTGATATATTATAAGGAGTAACGATATGTTTTATGAAATGTAGTGAAGTAAAAAGTACGATCTTATGCTTTGGAATTTAGTGAACTAAAAGTAAAAGTTACTCAAAATAAAACTACTCCAGTAAAGTACAGATACTTGAAAAATGTACTTAAGTACAGTAACGAAGTAAAACTACTCCGTTACTGTCCACCCCTGGGAATTATGCATATGAAAATCATTAAAGACATTGTTCTAATTGTAAACTTTAAACTATGCAAATAACCCTCACACCAGAGTGTTGTGTTCAACCCTCTGAAAACATACTTTGGGCACCATCAGAAAGGTGCCAATTTGCAAATCCCTCCTGCTCATGAAAGATTAAAAAGAGAACTCAGAAATAATTAAGGAACTCGGAGAACAACAACAATGTTCTACAAGAAGAGAATTTTGGGGAGTTCAGAAACAGCAAACTTCTCTTCAGGGATCCACCATCTGGATGTTCTAGATTGTCTGTACCTTCTACACAGACTTCAGAACCTTCAACTTCAAGGCATTTGTGGATTTAAGAACAAGGACCTTCTCAGTGCCCCAGAAGTTCAGCATTTCACAGGACTTTGTGTCCAAGGCTGTTTAAATGGAATGTAACTCCTCCTTTCCACTTTAATACAGCCAAACACATGTGGAAGATATCGCCGCCAAAGGATCATCACTTGACCAAGCAAAAACTTTCCAGAGACCTAGGCATTAATGTATAAGGTCAATATATGATTATCTAATTTTCATTAGATTTTGTATAGCTAATGTCAGTTAAAAACAATTAACTAGGGCTGCCCCCTAATGGTCGAATAACCGTTAGTCGACCAGAAGAGGCTTGGTCGACCAAAATTGTATTACTTGCTTAGTCACAGAAAAAAAAGAAATAAAAATCCACATTGGCGAAGTCACACAGATGGTTAACGGCGGCCCATGGAGGAGCCGACGGAGGGACGAGGTGTAGCCGGAGGAGTGGAGTCCCGAGGCGGCGGATGGTCGACGACAGACCAAGGCGGAGCCGGAGGGACGAGGGAGCCCAGCGGAGAGGAGGGAGCTAGGAGCCATGGTGGAGCTGCCGACCCGACAGCATTTATTTTCAAACCCGAATGGACCAGAACGTAAACGGCATTGACGTGTGCACAGCCTGCAGCCCCGCAGTCAGTCAGGAAAAATCCCGGTGTCCTGCTGACTGATTTGTCCACTGCTCCATTACTTTCATTTATTTATTTACTTATTTATAATTACTTTATATTTTTGCCTGCCTGGTGGATATTTCTGGGTTGGGCTTTCAATTGTGACCAGTGGATTTGAAAAATAAACATGATAGTTTGATCAAAATTAGCGAATCCATGATTTATTAGGCTATCGATTTAGTGTTGTCTGCAATGTTATTTACATCATCTCCGGTGAAGGGCTTCTGCACACAAAAAAGAAAAGCCCTGCATGAACACGGAGCGGAATGAAGCAAGTGGATTTTCCTGATTCTCAAAAATGAACTTAACACGAATGCACAAGTAGCCTTGAGCAAGAACCGAACCCCCAACTGCTCCCCAGCCGCAGCAGCAATATGGCTGCCCACTGCTCCGGGTGTGTGTTCACAATGTGTGTGTGTGTGTGTGTGTGTGTGTTTGTTCATGACTCACTGCTGTGTGTGGACTTGGATGGGTTAACTTCAGAGCACAAAGTATGGGTCACCATACGGGTAACACTTTATAATAATGTTCAGTTGTAGGTAATTTATAAGTGATTAGTTAATGATGAACTAATCATTTACAAAACATGACTATACGTTCACAAATGATTATTAAGTAATATGCTAACGATTTACAAATCTGTCGTTAGTTATCTTAAAAAATGGCATCATGAAAATCAAACATATCCTTAGTAAATGGTTAATAGTTACTAGTTAATATATTATTAATCACTTATAAATCATTTATATGTCAACATTGTACTATTATCTCAATAAACATTTGTTAATCATGAACAAACGATGATCAAACCATTAGTAAATGATCAGTATATAATTGATGTATGTTTCGTTAAAGTAAGCTGGTCTGTTAAAAAGCACAAAAATGCAAATTTTTTTTTTTTTAAAGAATAATAAATTATTTGCTGTCAAGTGAATATGTGTGTAAATGTCTTACAGTCAGGGGATTCCAGTGGGTTGTGTTAAACCCTTTCTCTCATCAGCACAGACTTGTGTTCTTGTGTGGGATCTAGTGATAACGTGAACTGGTCAGCCTTTACATTGCAGTACACGCTACAAAGTATTCAAAACCTGTTGTGTAAATGCATGGATAAATAATTTACAAAGCTTTCTGCATCCCCTAATTTAAAGTGTAAACTACTCATCACTTGTAAATGTGTTACACATCATTTGTAGATTTTTCTTACCTGTTACAAATGATCTGTAGGTGTATGCAAGGCATTTACAACACTTTCAGCATCCCCTAATCTAAAGTGTAAACTACTCATCAGTTGTAAATGTTTTACAAACCTTTTGTAAATTCTTTTACAAGAAATAATAAAAAGGTTTGTAAATTCTGTAAATTCATAACTGGTATATTCTGTTATGTCAGTCATTGGAAACGATCTTTAAAAGCTGTGCCGTTGTCTTCATTCGCCCGCATGAGTAGAAGCGCTTTATTTTCACTATCTGTCCAATTTGACAACATTTTTGAAGTCTGAGTGACAGGCATAAGACGATTTTGCTCTTATAAACAGACGAGCATAATAATATCCAATTGCAGCGTCGCAGTGCTGATGAATGGAAAAGAAGACTGGGTTTCACACATTGAAAAAGCTGTGAGACGAGACGCAATAGTCAAATATGTCCATCTAGTGCATATTTACATAGAAAAACAAACAAAAAAAAAACAACAGCTCAGAGTAATCGCGTCATCTCCATAAGAACGCTATGATTGGCCAATTTGGACCAAAGCAGACTTCATTTGTCAGCGTGTTCTACAAGCTCATGCCAGCAATGTTCATTCTGCGTTTACACAGAGCACATTACCAGTAAATAATATCAAAAGATCAAGGCAATTCTGATTTCTCAGCTCATGACCCCTTTAAAAAAGGTGTTCTCAGCCCTGGCACTCAAGGTCCACTTTCCTGCAGAGTTTAGCGCCAACCTTGATCCAACTCATCCGCCTATAGCTTTCTAGTCATCATAAGAGCTAGTTCAGGTGTGTTTGATTAGAAGAGCTAAACTTTGCAGTAAAGTTTAAACTTTTGCACCACTCGGTGCAAAAGACACCGAGTGGTTGAACTAGGTATTGCAGTCCAAATTCAAAGTATTGGAGAGGGTTTTTTTCACCCGGCCCCTCCTCTTCAGACTTGACGCACACACAGGTTGCCAGATTGGGGAAGTCGTGGCCTAATGGTTAGAGAGTCGGACTCATAACCCAAAGGTTGTGGGTTCGAGTCTCGTACCGGCAGGGATTGTAGGTGGGGGGAGTGAATGTACAGCGCTCTCTCCCACCTTCAATACCACGACTGAGGTGCCCTTGAGCAAGGCACCGAACCCCCAACTGCTCCCCGGGCGCCGCAGCATAAATGGCTGCCCACTGCTCCGGGTGTGTGTTCACGGTGTGTGTGTGTTCACTGCTGTGTGTGTGCACTTTGGATGGGTAAATGCAGAGCACTAATTCCGAGTATGGGTAACCATACTTGGCCACGTCACGTCACTTTAAAAAAAAATTTTTTTTAATAAAGTATACCTCGAGGTCCAGGGTTAGGAACCCCTGCAATAAATTACTTAATATGAACTTTTCATTTACATTTATTTTTAAGTGAAGTTTTATTACTATAGTACTATATTACTTAGTGTTGATAATAATAATAATACTTTACTTTTATTATGATTTACACCGTGTTCCAAAGTATTATGCAAGTAAAATATCAGTATTATCGCAGGGTGGCCAATTATCAAACATCCTGGAATCCATCCATTGGGACCATCCACTGTAGCACAGCAGTCATCGGTTAATAAAACGATTTAAAAATTAGTCTGAATGTATTTCGGAGCTCACTGCAAACATTTCTCTTTGCGAGCTTTGGTTAGAAGTGGCTTAAATGCAGCTTTATGCATACCTGCATGGAGAGGTTCTAGGGACTCCAGACTATCGGCTACCGATCACTATCGGCTACTGATCACTATCGGCCGATAATCGCTTTATCTTTATAATCTCGCACACTCAAAGCTAACATGGATTGACACGAAAATTAATTACACCATAAATGCATATAATTAAAGTCTACTGTGTTTCACAGTCAACACATATGGCTAGGTTTAAAGGAAAAGAGCACTTTTAGATAAACATGACAATAATAGATGGCACTCGTGGAGGTAGGAAAACAAAGTTCTTTATGAACCGCAGGATTGCTTGTGATAAAGATTTAAATGCAAAAGAAATGGCAGTAGAGCTGACCGTTTCTGTCAATGGTAAGTTTTAATGGTCACGATAACGTAAGAAAAGTAGTTTAAATGTTTTGCCACTTGCTTGAGAAGCCACGGATCAGTAGCGGACTCCTGTGTGAAAGCCGTTTCTGCACCACTTACGTAACACACATGGACTGCATGCGCACTGCAAATGGAGTATGTGTGAACCGCACATACAGCTCATGAAATCAGGCTTGTGCTGCGTGTAAGCTATTGTGCAACAATTGCACGGTTGTCAAAACAAAAATGCAGTGCATGATCAAACATTTAGCTGAGATAAATGTATGTTTTTAAAAAAATTCATTTTCAAAAATGAAATTCAGGCCCTGAATAAATGTCTAAAAATCTTGATTGGATCATCACTATAAATAATTCTACATGATAAAAAGAAGGCTTTAAAAAGATCGGTATCGGTGATCGTATCGGCAGATACTGTGATCGGCCTCAAAAATCCTGTTCAAAGCACTCCCTACTCCGGACACATAAGCAACTTTAATATTACTTATTTTTATGGCTTTGCAAGACATTGCACTAATTCAAAATGTATTTCTTCAGAAATATCTCTCTTCTGCCCTGTATTGCATGGGACTAGTATAATAATGTGGAACAACATCTTTATGTAGGCTTTCCATTTACCTAAGAAAACCTGGCAAACTATTTAACAAACCTGAGATTGATACTAGTTATCTAAAAAGATTTGAGAAATAAAACAAAGAAACACTTCAATTGAAAAACAAAAATCTAAATGTTTTAAAAAGCTGCCCCCATCACAGCCCTAAAAATGATCCATACTTCAGATTCACGTGCTAATCACTTACTTAAGTGTTGAAGAGTCACGAGGCCACATGTCGTCTCCATTCTTCTGTTCAATAACTACCACCTACAAACAGAGAAAAACAGATCTAGGAATAAAATCAAACCTGAGTGGAGAGGTCAAACGTTAACAGGTTACAGTGTTCACAATGCATGCATGAGCAGGACTGTCCAAGTGTGAAAGAAGTTTTGCTGAAAGTTTCAATGCTAAGCCTAATTTGATCAGAAAACACACTGACACTGCAATAATGGAATGGTAATACAGGTATATTTCACTAATTAACTTAAGATTCTCCTAAATACAGGTATTCTGTCTTTTCCTCCTCTGCCAAAATAACATTGTTTTGGTGACCAATCACACAGATATCGGTTGAGCTCATATACATAAAAAAATAATGATTAACCTTAATATGTAGGCTGTTTATATTACACAACATCATGCAATCTTCTGTTAATACATGCATGCCATCTTTGAACAGCATTAAACAGTCTGTGTAAATAACCTTGTCATGACAGCTGCAGCTTGTGTTCCACCTTTGCAGTGTAATCATGACTTTTATTGATGTGGATACAATTTGATTGGTAACAAAGGTAAAAAAAAAAAATGCACAAAAGAAAATACCCCTGGAAATCAATCCAAGGGGCAAATATTGCTGCTTAATGGAAAAGCTAATTTCTGACCCAGTCCATTTCTGTTTATTCTCAGAAAATTAGCTTAGGGCTCCTGGTTGCAGTAAAGCACAAACTGTCTCGGAAAAAATCCTCTTCCTTCTACCACATGCTCTGTTCTCTGCGGTGCCACCTCCTAGCAACAACAATTGCAGCCATTTCAAGCGCAAAATTGTTTAAGACATGATTTTTTTTGGCGTTAAATGATGGCACAAATGCCAGTAATTTGACGAGCGCAAACGTTAGTATAACGCATTGCGTGATTCATTCGAATACTCTCCTCCCATAAATTTCGCGTCTGAAAGGGAAACTTCTACAAATGCATATTCAATAAGGTCAGGCGCAAAAATAACTGTGTCCACGCCTTTTCAGCGCTAATTCTTCACTGCACGTTTAGTAAAACCTAACAGTACAATTTTAATGCCAAAAGACGGTTTGTGCTGGTGCAAGATGTTAGTAAAATTGGCCCATAGACTCTTATTGTAGTGTTACCATTTCATATAAATCTAAACGTATTTATACTCTGACACTTCATTTGCTTCTATTTTACAACACTTGATGATTATTTAATCAAAATAACAAAATAAGGCAATCACACACCGGACAAAAAGCGCAGCACCGTGTCACGTTGCATCTACAAATCTGGTACTGCATACCAGATCACATTCAAGTGGCGGTCCAAAAGAGTTTATTTAATCACCAAACAGGCAGAAATTCACTTCAAGAATCAACAACGTGTTCGGTGTTTAAAAACAGAGCAAACAGAAAGAATCTATATTAGCCATACATTATTAGAGCCACAGAAAGATAAACGTTTTGATGAAAAATGCACAATACACAATCTTCCAGCCTAGGGTGAAGTCATCATACACGTTTTCATTAAATTACCACTATATTTATCCCAAATGTTGTTCATATCTAAACAGTGCTCTGTGGTGCAGCAGGATTTCTGTTGGCTGCATGAACACATCACTCTCTTTAAATATGCAACTTCACTGCACTACAAATGCATTAATGTGACCAGCTGGACAACTATGCAAACAGATGGCAACAAATGTGACTTTGGCTTTTGGTCACATTATTTTAATCGCTGGAGATTATTTAAATCAACATCTGAAGTGTCCTTCTCTGTGCCTCACGTATCAAAACAAACAGCACGAGACGTCAGTGATTTACCTCCAGAGGATGCTTTCGTACTGTATAATGACAGCTGACCTTCTTAGCCACTCCAGCAATGGATGCAACTAGACTTGTGCCGGTATTCGGTAATGCGATATATCACGGTAATGGATATGCACGATATTTTTGTCCTGGGCACTTCTAAATACCGTGAATAATTATATATTACAAATTATTCCGAATTTTTAATGCATTTTAATAATACTTTTCCCATCAACTGTTCAAAATGCCGCTGTATGCTGCGTGAAAGAGTGTGCGCACTCTAAACGTAAACAAGCGCGGACGAGAAGCACATGGCGCGCAACCCGGAAAAAAATATTGGTAAATTTTTTCCAATAACCAATAGTTACAGCAATTGACTATCAGAGCCGATTAATCGGCAAAACCGATCGATCAATCGACCTCTAGTATGGGGTGCTGTTACGTATCTTCTAAAAGAGTATAGAATCTCCATATCCAAAATCAAGCAAGGAAGAAGCATAAACAACTGACAGAAGCATCGTTTAGCATTAAGGTTCGCTGTAGTGTAGACTAATAAAATTAAAACTTAAATACACAAATAGCATTTTTAAATGACTTTTGCCATTATAAATGGAGTAGTAATATTTTATTTCATTCTAACCAGAAACACATGGAAATGTAACAGGAAAAAAATAGCTTATTTTTACTCAGAACCAATTCATTTTTAATCCCTGATTTCAGACATGGACATGAGATAATGAATATATTATTGCTTGACTAAAAGTTTAAAAACAGTGCTAGAAATGTTATAATTAAGGATTCCTTATAATTAAGAAAATTAGACATGTTAAAAGGCATAATAAAATATGTCTACTCAAGCAATAATTTCACAAATAAAGAGAAACATCAGACTATAAAAAATAAAATGTGTTGTCCGCTGTGTTGTCTTTTGGGGCTGTGGGAGTGCGGGTACACCATATAATCGGATACTGGGATGGATCAATCAATCAATCACAAATTGCACAGCAAATAAATACTGCCAGCTGTATGTTGACATCCCTGTTTGTTTTGGTACAAGATATTGCGCAGATTGATTGATTGATTGGGCAGAATCTGTCCAGGTGTGATGTGCCACTCATTAAGTGTGTTGTGTAGTGGACCGACTCATTAGGTTTGTGCTTCTCTCTGACTGTCAAAGACTAGAATCTGCTCCAGTCGATGGAAACAGTCTTTAAGGCTATATTCATACTGCGAGCCTTAGTGGTCAATTCCGATTTTTGCTCAGATCTGATTTCTTTATTTTTTTGTATAGCTGTTCACATTGTTATTTTAAATGTGGCCAAAATCAGATTTCCAGTGTAAACAGATCATGATTCTGAACTGACCCCCATAGACAAAAGAATGATACGAACAGGTTTCCCAGGATTTCACAACAAAATCCGCCCAATTGCTTCTCAAAACTAGTCCAAAACTAGCCCAATCATGTTCTGGGGGTAACCCACGAAGTTGAAAAACAACCTGCTGCAACAGTGGAAAAAAGTAGCCCAATTCCATGGGGAAACTGTGGATTTGGCAACACTTGCAGAAGCACGCCGTCATACGGAAGTAAACACGGAGGACGTAAAGTAAGGGATTATGCATTTATTTATAGTGTGATCTGATGCAGAAGCCAATGAAATTATGTGCAGGCAATATGACAAATAAAGACAAGAATGTGACAAGAGAGCAGAGTTTTGACACTTTTATGATACGCGCCTTCATGTTTCCATTAATGCAGGCAATGGAACTTAGCTGAGTGATTCGCAAGAGTCCTTTCTTTCTCTTTCAGATGGCGACGGAGCAAAGGGATCGCAGGAAAACACAAACGGGAACAAAGGTAGTTAAAATGGAGTCAGGTAAGAGTAAGGAGTAGTAACCTTGAGACCAGACAATGTGAGAGTGCTTAGTGCTGGATTATAAAGACCCACTGATGACGCTGATGGCAGACAGGTGCGGTGATTGACGGACAGTGAGCTGGTGTGAACTAGGAGGGATTCTGGGAAATGTAGTGTGCTGAGGTGACTATGACAGGCATGATGACAGAAGCTGGTCACAGTAGCCTAAAGGCCTTTTCATACTGAACAAAAATTCAGCGCGAATGTTCGGCGCGATGACACTTTTGAATCAAAACAATAGATCCCTATGGGGCTATTCACACCAGGCGAAAAAAATGATTTTTTTTTGTCCCGTGTGTCGATTTTTTCCCTGTCGCTCCAAGACAAAACGGGTCGTCCAATTAGTTCTGAGCTTAGATCACGTGCCCGGAGCAGCTGCTGTTGCACAAAAGGGCGAGAGTGGTGGCGCGGTTTCAAAAACCAGTGTAAACAAACACCAAAGAAGAGTATCCCGGTAGAGAGAAGAAAAAAGTGGATTCTGAGTTCTTGTTATCGTTGGTATTTGAGAACAGATTTATTCTCACATGTTCTTTATACAGAATATAATTTCTATTAATTCTCCACTGAATCGTGTGATCTGAAGAGCACCGTCCGTTTTCTTCCACGTGCACGAGTGTTATGAGTCAGAGCACGTTCACTCAAAATCTGTCAATCATGGGATAATATCTCCTGCCATTAAGTATGAAAAAAATGAGAAACATTTTTCTATGAAATATGAAAGCAAATAGACATGATTATAATGAAATATTTTCTGTATTTGTTTTATGCAGCTCATGATATTTTTCTCACAATAAAGGATGTTTATGACAAATAAGAAACAGGTGTTCAATCAATTATAAAACATACAAAGAATGCACATCTGCCTATTATCAAAATCCACTTTAGATCTCAATCGGAAGTTATTACAAGCACTCGATGATGGTTTAAAGTGGGTTTTAAGCAAAAACATAAAATAATCACATACTTTTTCAAATGCAGCTTGATGCTAATTGTTCCTCTATTAATATTTTAATATGTACTCTTGTAAGCATTATGGGTAGTTTGTGTTTCTGGTGTAGAACTAGGGGTGTGCGATATATATCGTCTGCAATAATATCGTAATTGTTGTTTTAACGACGTGCGATTTGACATTATCGAGTATTTTGCAAAAACCATTCAAAACATCCCTACAGAGCGCACGCATACATTACGTGAAGTCTAGACTAGTGCGTGTGCGCATTTAGTGTGTTTTCTTTCACTGCATGATTCAGTCTATTAAAATGCATTTAGAATGATCACAAATTCAAGACATGGCAGAAAATTTATATATTTATACCACTTCATATAGTTATTCAATTTCACACGAAGAGTGCCGTTTTTCTCCAAAAATTACCATGATTACAAATGTGACATTGAATTCAATAAACAATAAGTTAATTAAGAGACTTACGTTTTAGACACCATATTGCTTGTTTTTGCTCTATTTCGCCAACAAAAATCATTCCGAATACAGCCACAGCGCTGTTTTGTGTCTCTGAGCAACATGACGGTGTTTCGTTCTTGAATGAATCAACCGTTTAAATGATTCGGTTCAATCGCAATGACTCACTTATTAACAGTGATTTGCTGCCACCTGCTGGCGGTTTTAATTTCAAATTTCGGCTTTTTCTTTCTTTTTCTTTTTTTCTTATTTATTTCAAATATCAGTATTCAACGTTTTATGTTTAATATATCAAAACATTATTTATGCATTTGTAATTGCAGGTTAAATGCATTCATGTCTTGCATTAAACAAAATACATGTGTGTAAATACATCTAAATGCCACTTCAGATGCAGCTTCTGTGTTGATTTAATTTGCTTGGTAACAGCCCAAATGTCTTATTCTAATTCCCTGATTAAATGTAAGAATTTGACTCAAAAGATAATGGACACTTTTAGAAAAAATGGCTTTATAACGGTAAAAATGCCCCATAAAATGCAAAAATCAGTTTAAACTTATTGGATTTCAGTACTTATCAGTATGAACTGACCACCACACAGAATATGAAGAATATTAAAAACATTAGGAGTCAGCTGTCTTCGGCAGTCCTTAAGGTATCAGCACAATAACACACTCGGCAAAATATCGTCTAATTATCGTTATCGATAAAATCCCAGAAAATATCGAGATATTATTTTTTGTCAATATCGCACACCCCTATGTAGAACCAAACTTTATTTTAATTTAATGCTGTATATTGAGCAGCGGACCATATATGAAATACATATCTGAGGAAAAATGCATTGTTGGTCGGCGCCACCTATGTGCAGGGGTGAATTAGCAGAAGGCGATCAAGCGGTTTGAGCTCGTTGTGAAAGCACCATTCATCGGCGATTCACCTCGCTTTTTCGCATCGCCCCCAGTGTGAAACAGCCTTAAGTGTGTTGAGTTCAGTCTTAGAATATACGTGTCCTCATCTTAATGAACAGAGAACTCAAATTTTCCTTGATCTTTTAACAGAAGTGTTTCAGCATGAAGTAATAGTGCGATGAAAGACCAGCTCTGCAGAAGAAGATCAACACCTTCTTCTACATCATCACATCTTTGGCCCAGCCCACTGGTGCATTAATAAGATGAGAAGGATAAAAGAGAGATACAGGATGAATAGCCATTTTCCTAACATTTTCCTAATGTTATTTGTAGTCTATTTATTTTCAGCTATGCTAATGTCTCAACAGAGCATCGTTTGAATGTTTGGTACATGTGGATGTCGGTCATTGGATTCTTTAGTAAATCAGACTTGAGATATGGACCTAACAGTAATACCACACCAGGTAAGTATACCTGTTCATTCTAATGCCTAATCTGTGATCAGTGATTTTCGACATGTAATGATTCATGTACAACCAGGTGTTCTTTGTCTCAAAATCTTTGGTGTTTGTGTCAGTAAATCAAGCCAGTGACTAAATGGTCAACTTCACATTGTTCCTCTTAGTAGTATGAAGATCTGTTATTTAACTTTCGATTAAATTCCCTATAGAAAGCGATCAAAGAACCCTCCCTTTATAATTGCTGGAGCTGTCAATCACAGTGCAAGTTTATAATCAATAATGCGGTCTACAGTGCACAATTAGGCCTAATCTCTTATTTACAACTTATTTTCAATTAGTTATGATGAAAGCATTCATGAGAGTGCTGAATGACGAAATCACTGCATTCATGTGCTCAACAATCTGTCATCGTACAATGCGCATTGATGCAACCTTTCATATAGACCTCATTGCAGTGAGCGTTTACACTGAAGTCTTCAAGGAGACACACCCCTTTAAATGTAGCATATAAATCAGAGAACTAAAATCAGGACTCCTCAGGAAACATTATTAAATAATAACAAATAAAAAGCTCATGACCCTTTTAAGCCCCAGTTGGCCTACTTTTGACAAAGATATTAATTGGCCAAAAAATCCCTTGCCATTAGCCCCGAGGAAGCCCCGATTAGGCCCAATCAAGCCCCAGAGGTGACAGTGGAAACATGATGGGCCGTGGTACACACTAGCACACTTTTGGCCTGACGGTGGAAACAAGGCTATTGTACTTATAGAAGAGTTATTTAACAGTTTGCCACTGCACTGCATCAAACACAGGATTAGCGTTTTCACAATTGATCACGGCTGTAACTTTCAAGTACTTGAGCAATTGGGTTCTCATTCCCATCCTTCCAAAAAACATTTTTCAATAGAATTACGTGGTAACCTTTTATTTTTCATCTATAAATGTGTCATGACTAGGGCTGGGCGATATAGCTAAAAAAATGTATCAACAATATAATGTTTCATATCGTTCGGTATCGATAATTATTGACATTTTTATAACCTTTTTTAAAACAAAGAGCAATAGAATTTTTTTTTTACATTTAACCACTGTATTTTTAAATTAACTCAATTTATTGAGACAAACAACAAATATTTTTTTGTTTTAACAGTCAAACACAAAATAAAAATTAAACAAATATCTAATTTCTAATGTTTTATATGCAGATTAAATAGGTTAAACTTTTGGCTTGTTTCCCGAGGCCACAGGAGGGCGCAATGAGCAAAATAATGCAGCACATTAAACTGTCCACGCATGGTGTGATAAAGCGAGCACCACCAGCTCGCTTGGGACGTAACAAGTGTCCGTAAAAGATGTAAAAAAAAAGATGGCTCACTCGCAACAGCACTTTCGTGCATGGTGTAATTTATTTACAGTGCCAAAAGTGTTAGTCCACAGTGAAGTATTTACCGATGCACTATAAAACAAAACTCAAAAGTATCAAAGAAACAACAAAAGTGGAAAACAAAACAGAGAAAATCTATAAATCCAAAAATACTTATGTACAGGTAACACGTATCCACAATATACAGGGTTGAGGTTCG